ATATCGTTGTTGCTCCAGCCAGAGGGTGATGACGTAGTAAATACTGAGTGGTTTCCTGCTCGTACAGCATCAACCCAGCTTGTTTGTATAGCTCCGTTGGCTGCCTTGAAGATGAGAGAAGGACTCAATACGCTCCCATCCGAACAAATACACGCCACAACGGTGATCCACTCACTTGAGCCATCCTCAAGCGGTTGGCGTACCCCCTTTTTATCCCAACGTGCCTTGGAGAAGATACGCTTTGTTCTGCCAATCCTTCCAAGTTGAAACCCCTTTTCGTCCATATTGAATATATGGGAGGGTTGGACGTTGTACTCCTCTATCTTTTCAACCAGAAGCTTGAAATACAAGCTGTACTTGGCTCCTGAATCGGCGTTGCAACGAAGTTTGCTCATCCCCTTGCTGTGGGCAGAGATGAGATGGTTGGGGTGCCGGCGGATGAACCGGTCAACCCAGCTTTCTGAAACCGGCTTTCCAGCCAAATCTGAAGCAAAGCGTTGTATCATTTCCTTCGTAGGTGGCAAACGTCGTTCGGTAAGCGTATCGATGTATCGTACAAGCTCCTTCTCGTGTTGTGGATGGAGGGAGAGGTTGCGCACGCCATAGGCCTCAGTTTCGCCGCGGTGTCGTCTCATCAACGTCATTCGTGCTACACCATGCTTTTTCGCGATTGCTTGATACGAGAATTTATCTCCTGGTTCTCGCGATTCGATTTCTGCAATCGCTTCTTGAATCGGGTCCATATTGGTTGAGTTTTGACGCGTTGAAGTTTTGTTGTTGTGGTGGTGGGGGTGCTCAACTGGCGATGGTGCTCATCTGGTGCACGGGCACTGTAGTGTCCACCGCGGGGATCCAGGAACCACAAACGACGTGCCCCTCCAACCCCCACCAAAAACATCTCGCAGCACCAACACACGCAGCCATTGTACTCTCTACCTCTACGCTCGCACACACACTCACACACAACATGACGGCCCCCACGCACCTCGACCCCTCGGAACTCGGCACCAAATCCTACTGGGACGCAGCCTACACGACGGAGCGCAAAAACTTTGCCGCCAACGCCTCGGACGAAGGCACAATCTGGTTCAGCGACGCCGGCGCCGAGGAGCGCATGCTCTTGTATCTCGATAATCTCAGCGACGAGACGCTGCTGCACAAAGGTGATGAGGACAGCATAGGCAAGCAAGGCTCGCGGTTCCTCGACCTCGGGACAGGAAACGGGCATTTGCTGTTTGCGCTCCGCGAGGACGAGTGGTATGGCGCCATGGTGGGCGTGGATTACTCAGAGCAGAGCGTGACGCTTGCGAGCACGATTCGCGATGCAAAGGGCGAGGGGTATGCCGATATTGCGTTTTACGAGTGGGATATCTTGTCGCAGGGTGCGGGGCCGTGGCTGGGCGAGGGCTTCGATGTCGTGCTGGACAAGGGCACGTTTGATGCCATCTGCTTGTCTCAAGAGGAGGATGCACAGGGACGCAGGATATGCGAGGGGTATAGGGAGAAGGTGGAGCCGCTGGTGAAGAAGGGCGGCATGTTCTTGATTACAAGTTGTAATTGGACAGAGGAGGAGTTGAAGGGCTGGCTTGAGGGGGGCTCGTTGAAATTCGACGGCAAGGTCATATATCCGAGTTTCACATTTGGCGGCAAGACGGGGAGCAGTATCGTCACACTGTGCTTCAAGAAGACATAGGGAAGAGTCTTATTCCGGCAAGCCAAGTACTACGGCCGCTCTGCTCGGACTGCCCTCCGTAACCGCGCCAGGATGAGCCACTTTTTCCGCTCGCCCATGTCCTCCAGACCGCCGTCGCGCTCCTTGGCCCATGGCCGTCGTTGCCCATCGGCATCCATCTCGTACATTTCCTCAATCTCGAGCCCCTGCGCTGGCACAACCTCCTCGAAGAAGGGCGCAACTTTGGCTCGGCCTGTGTGGAAACCCGCGATACAGTATATACGCGCATCGGGCGTGGGTACGAGGAAGTGCAGCATTGATTTTGCGAGGCTCTCGTGCTCCCCCGGCATCCATAAGCAGTCTGCCGCCAGGATGCGCGTGTAGCTGTGGGCTTTCGACGTTTCAAAGTCGGTGGAAGTAGACCCCCATTGGTGGCCCTGGATAGTTATACAAGGTTGTAGGTTGGCCGGTACGTTCTTTGTAACGTTTCTCTTGAGGTTATCGAGGATCGGAGGCGCGGGATAGTCGGTGACGGCAACCTGGCGAACGGTCAGTCCAAGCCCACGCACATGTAGACGGCAACGTACCTCTTTCGCACCCGCCAGTGCACTCAGTATCCCGCCCAGTCCTACGCCTACTCAAGCAGCATACCATCAGCCCTCTACTCAGAATCGCATCTTTCAACCCTACCCACCTGCACCCAGCTCCAGCACAGTCTCGCCCTTGACACTCCATTGCTTTTCCTCTTCCTCGCTAGCCCACCATTGCCCAGGTTCCCAGCGCGTGAATTCCCAGTCCGGCGTCTTTTCCAGGAAGTTCTCTTCGCCATCTCTTAGCCGCCCTGTGACCAGTTCCGCCATCATGATGCCCGCATTCCACAGATAGTGCGCAAACTTGCGCCGCTGCTCCTCGCCATTGACATCGGCGGTGCGCAACTCGAGCTCCCCATACTTTGCGTTGCAGTACAGAACAACAGTCTCGGGATTGTCGCCGTGCTGGTTCTGCAGGTCGTCGGTGAAGATGCCGCCGAGTGAGGAGCCAAAGATGTCTTCGGGCGTGAGGGGCGTGTCAGATGGGCGGCGGAGATTGATGAGCGAGGGCAGGCGCATAGGCATGGCGAAGGATGCGGCCCTTGCCGGCGAGTGGATATAAATACACCTGGAGGGGCGCTGGTTCTGTACTGGCAAAAGAAACCTTATTCTATGCATGCATCTGGGCGGATGATGGGCGCGGGGCATTTCTGGGACGCTAGCAGGGATAACGCGTGTCGGGACCTGTGAGATGATTCATTGCTTGCCGAGGCCGCCGCCATCGCCGCTTCTACTTCTGAGCTTCAAACTGCCTTTGACTCGCCACCATCCTTGCTTTCTCCCACTCCCCACCCACATTGCCTGCGTCGCAAAAAACAACACCGCTACAATGTCGTCGCTCGCGACGTTCAAAAACCCCTCGACGTACCATTTGCTCAGGTACGCTCCCTCACCGCAACACACCCCACCACGCTCGTCGTATACACACATACTCACTCGGCCCATAGCTATGGCACGCTCCTGGGCTCTACCCTCTTCCAGTCCTTCGTCTCGGGCGTGATCGCCTTCCGCGTCCTCCCCCGCCCGCAATTCTCGACGCTGCAAAAACACACTTTTCCCATCTTTTTTGGTCTGCAGACGGTCGCTCCTATCGCAATGTTTTTGACCTACCCTCGCGGCGCCACCTCTCTGATCCCTTCGTTCCTGCTTCCCTCTTCGCCCGCCGCTCCTCCGCCATCCTTCTCCTTCTTCGCGCCTGCTTCGACTTCGACTTCCAACAATAAGCTGGCTTCCTGGTTACACGCTGCTATGCTTGCTACGGCCGTGGTCAACTTGGTCTACATTGGACCAAAGACAACCGAGGTCATGGGCATCAGGAAGCACCAGGAGACAAGGGACGGCAAGAAGAGCTATGACAGTGGGCCACACAGCAAGGAAATGCAGGCGCTGAACAAGCAGTTTGCCATACTGCACGGCGTTAGCACCCTCATTAACTTGGCGGGGTTGGGTGCTATGATTTGGTATGGTGGTGTGCTTGCCGAGGGGCTAAGCATGTAACATGTTGGAACACGAAGTTACGTTTTTAAGAAATAAACGAGAGATGAATATGTGGTGGAATGATTTAGGATACTGGTCTGGATGCGAGGCCACATGCGCATTCAAGACCGGAGTGTGAATTGGGTGAGGAGAAAGACCCGATTCAAACAGAGCGATTGTACCGCAGCAACGAGAAACACGTACATAACACATACCCAATTACAACAAAGCTACAAACGCCCTCTGTGTCCATTGAAATATCAGTCTCTGAAATTTCTCCTACCATACCAGTATTCTTCCCAAAGCAACACCACAAATGGCACATTGTCCCCACGACCAACAATCCCGCAACTCCCGTCTTCCCCCGCCTTCATCTCACCAGGAAGAGACCACTAAAATGCATGTAGAAAGGGCAGAACAGTACAGACTTCTCGTTTCCCGCGCAGTAACTCAACGCCTCGACTCGCCTTCTCTCTCCCCATCCTCCTCTTCTTCTTCTTCTTCATCATCATCATGTAACAAGATTACAGACGATACCAACAACAGCACTAGAGATGCACAATGGGAACTGCAAGACCGACAGATAAGTCTCGCTAACATCCGGCGTCAACTTGACGAATGGGGTATTTTATGGGGTACGTAGTCTCATCAATTTCTCCCCTTTCTCCCTTCTTTCTCAGACTTGTCTTTCCCCTTGACAATTTTGCGTTTCTACGAGGCGTTGAGAAGGCTGGACATATATACATGCTTTCTATCTTGTTCTGTCCTGTTCTTTTCACTATCCTACCGGACCTCCAGTACCCTACCCTGGCATACTACACTACAACAACGCTCCACCGTCCATACTACACCCATCCTCCCATCACGCAACACAACAAACTACACCACCATCTTACTACCAAACACCTAACTAACAACATAGATACTTTCATATCGGATGTACAAACTGCAAGTCAAACAGTGCACTACCTGCTTCCAACGCGATATCCAGGGCCATCTGCAGCACCACTAGTACCAATGGGCTTGCAGACTGCGCGGGGAGAAGAAGAAACGGGGGAGAACTCCCAGGATACAGTATATGTACGCATAGAGACGGAAAAAGAAGAAGAGCGGAAGAATCGGTATACCGTTGTATTTGAGACATTGAAGTTTTTTTCCGGGGAGTGAGAGTGGATGCGCGAGGGATAAAAAAAATTGGTGTAAAGAGCGAGTTATTTCATTTAGGCATCACAGTGCTACATAGCTAGCTTGAAGTACTTACATAGCTTTGCCGTCAAAGTTCAACGACTCCACGCTCAAACACCCAAGTCTATGCATGGTGGAGTGGCAATTCTCGGCTTAGCAACACACATGGAGCAAAATGGACATTTGCACAGAAGCGGAATACAAGAAGCGCGTGGATACATGTACATACATACGTAGGTAGGTAGGTAGGTAGGAAAAAGGGGGTATCTTTTGAAATTGCAAGCTGGAAACTAGAAGAAAAAAAAAACTGTACAGAAGAATGAGAGATAATGCAGTGAACTGAAATCAATCATGAGACTGACTTGCTTAAGGAGGGAATTAAGAGAGAAAAAAATTAACAATGAAAGGAAAAAAAATTTGTTTTGGACACAAGAATGCAAGCAAGAACGTCTACAAGCTGACGTCCACCAGCCTCGTCCTATCACCCTGCACAGCCAATCCCTCTTCCTTTTGTCGTACGGCTACCCAGTCAGTCGGATCGCTACCGACCCTCGTGCTCTCAGATCCATCTGCAGAGGGACGGTGAGAAAGGTCGTTTGCAATTCTGGGCTCTGCAGGTGTTGGATTGCTGGAGTGGCTCAGCACAGGAACGGGCTTAGCGTCCGACTTGTTCTCTGCGTTGTTGATCTGCTTCGGTGCCTCGCCATCGGCGCTTTTCAGTCTGTATGGAAGCTCAAGCGTTTCTCTGTCTTGATGCTTGTGGCGCTCCTGCAATGTGGTGGGCGTAGTGTCCATTCTATGCACACTAGGCCTCGCATTGTCATGTGTATTCTTTTTTGCTTCTCCCTGATCAACTGCCTTGTCTTGAGCGTCTGCATGCTTTCTTCCAGGCTTGTCATTGGGCGCATGGGTATTCGCCTTTCCTTTTGACAGCGATCTTCGTGTTTCCCTCCGCGATGTCTCTGTGCTCTTGCGCCCTACCCGCTGGCCATCCTTCTCATCACCTCGTCCAGTAAGGGAACCGATGATGCCGTTTTTGTGACGCTTCTTCTGTTCTGCAATCGTCCTCTGCAGAGCCTTCCAGCGTATGTTGACATTCTCTTCAATCTTTTCCTGCTTCTCTGCAGATCTGTTACCGACTTGAGATTCTTGAGTACCTGCAATGCGAGATGTCGAGCTAAGCATTTTCAGCTCTTCTTGCCCCTCAGCGATGCGGGCGCGACGGAGGTAGTTCGTCGGCTGATAACGCTTCATGTACTCGGCGTCTAATCCCTTCATCGTGTACGCCACAGGTCGAAGCAAAGCTGCAATATCCTTCAGCACAAAGCCGCCAATGCCCAAGCCGACGCCTTTGACAGCACCTAGCACGCCATTCTTCTTAGCACCGTTATATGGCTGAGTGACAAGGCCTGAGACGCCATCCATTACACCGTAGAGAAGCTCATCGCGACCAGCGCGAGTGCCAGAATGGAAACCAGTGACTCGAGGTGGACGGCGAACTGTTTCATCGCCGTACAAGCGTGGTGCGTTGTGAAAACCTTGGGTGACTGCGAGAGTAAGATCCATAGGGAAGCGGGCAATGGCATGTCCCGTCTTTCTGAACCCAAAAGCAGCCTCGCGTCCAAGCTCTTCCGTCAACTCTTCGCTAGGCTCAGAAATCTTTGAGAGGGTTGTCTCATTGCGGGTAGGTTGTGGTCTGCCATTGGTTTGTGGATTGTTGCTTGCATCTTGTCCAACTTCATTGGAGCTGGTACCTGCATTTGCATGCGCAGTCTTATGGGCATCGCGCTTTTGCAGTCTCCGCTTCTTCTCCTTGATCTTTTCTCTCTTCCTGATACTCTTTCCAATCTCGACAGGCATACCACCAACTCCAGCTGCCGCATCCGAGAAAGAGGTCATGAGACTGCCCCAGACTCCAGTAATGGGCTCACCAGGTCCACCGAAATCGTTCCATTCGTAGTGTCGGACCAAGCGCAGCTCATTCCACTTGAGCTTCTTCTTCTCTACAAGTATCTCGGCGGCCAGCGCAGATAGCTTAACATTTGTATTCTTGATCTTCCAGACAGCAGCGCGATTGTCGAGGAAATCGCATCTCATGCTTCCCTCTCCTTTAAGGGGTAGTGATCGGTGGAATGAGCGCACTGCATTGAGAGCACCATCTCCCTCTTTGGCAATACTATCGGCAATCTTTCTCACGTTCTCTTTAGCCTCGTCTGTAAGACACTGTCGTATACCCTCGGCCAGACGCTCAGCCGAAAGCTTCTTGTACGGGATACATTCATGTGCTCCTGCTTTTGCTTTGCTGACCATTGCGCCCCAAAAAGGCTGATCGCCAAAGAATGGAACAATCATGGTCGGTATCCCGCACTTGAGACCAATGGCCGTTGTTCCTGCTCCACCATGATGCACGACCGCACTGCAGCGAGGGAAGAGCCAGTCGTGAGGCGTGTTTTCCAGCATGAAGACGTTTTCTGGGCAATCGGCGTTGGAACCAAAGCCTCCCCAGCCCTTGGAAACAAGAGCGCGACAGCCGACTTGCTTGACAGCCTCGAAGATCAGCTTGGTGAACTCGTCCGGGTCATCAACAACAATGGATCCAAACCCAATGTACACCGGGGGAGGGCCGTCGTCGAGAAACTTCTTCAGCTCATCCGGCGGCGTGAACGACGACGCAAGGTCAAGAAATACAAAACCAGAAATGTCAATCTCTGGGCCCCAATCTTTTGGCTTCGGAATAAGGCCCGGTGACCACAGGTAAGTGTATGGCACCTTGAGTCGATACAGTTGGCCTGGCGCCCACAGTCGACTGACCTCCTCGAGATGCAAAACCTGAGTACGGAAGCGATTGATCAGATCACCAAGACCTTGCCACATCATCATCTCGACTAGCGGGTATGACATGAAGTTGCTGTAGGTTGCTTCGACGTTACTAGCTTTGATGTTTGCCAACGGGTGAGGGAAGTGGGTAGTCGGTGTGTATGGGAAGCTGAGCATGTTAACTGCAGTCTTTTACATGAATATTAGCACTTACGTGAACATCATGTGAAGTGGGATACCCACCTTCTCAGCAATATGCTGCGGGGCAAAGCTGGGAGGGTTGGCGATGATGGCATCAGCAACGAAAGGAGCCTTGTCACCCACTGCAAAATTAGCCTCACAAATGCCCAACTAGATCAAAAGAACTTACTCATCTTCACATTTGTTACGTCAGTCTCGTCATCCGTTGCGTTGATGCATGCGCGCCACATTCCCTGGAACATATCGTACATTTGCGATCTTCTGCGGCCAATCTCGCCTTCTTTTATTGTCTCGATGTTGGGAATGAGACCCGGATTCTTGACCATGAAAGCCATGAGCTCAGCTGGATTGCCGCCAACTGAAAAGAACTCGAGGCCCGACTCTTTCTCGACAAAGTCCTTGAACGCTGGATGTGTGGCCAGACGGACGCGATGCCCATAGTCCTCTTGCAGTATCTTGGCTATTCGAATAAAGGGCTGAATGTCTCCACGCGAGCCAATAATGATGATGACGATATTGAGCTTCACTCGCCTCGCAGGTTTATGTTCCATCTCGTCGTCTTCTGGCGCAATTTTGGCGGCGCCCACATCGTCGTAGCTTTCCGGACCGCGATCCTCGTCGTTGCCATGTTTCTTGATAATAGTCCCGAGAGCTTTTGCAATGTATCCGCTGCCGAGATTCTCTTCGAGAATGCTAAGCTTCAGTCGTCCGTCTGCTCTGGAGACCTTGCCCTTGGTATTGAAATGTTCGTTGGCGATTTTGAGGCGAGAAAATGGATGAAATCTACTCTCGCGCGGTTTCCGAGTCGTCTGCTTGGTCAGGCTATCAGCGTGACTAAGGCTTTTTCTGTGCGAGTAGAGGTTCTCATCGTCGGAAGAGTCGGAGGAATCGGTGTCGGCGTCAAAGGTAATGGTTGCTCGTCGCTCGGGTTGCTTTGGCTTCCTTTGTTGTGAAGTTCGCACCCTTCCCAGCAGTGAGTGTCTCGCCGAGGGCTTGGGGCGTTCAGTTGCCCATCGTTGTTGCTGGGCTGGGCGTGACGTTGAAGTAAAGTAATCCTGGTTGTTGGGTATGGTATGCAAGGGCCCACATGGCCCATCTGCTGCATAGTCTTGTTGCGACACTGTTTCCTGTTGCTCCACGTCGGCAGTTGGTGTATAGTACACCGAAATCGTGTCGGGCGTAGACATTGTCTCGGGTTCCTGGCCAGAGATGTTGGGAAACGACGGCTCTTCAATGACCATGCCAACAGGAGCGATTCCGCCTTTGTCTTTGGGCTCAGAAGGCGCTGACATGATGACAATGCTGAAAGCTCGAGCGAGGGGGCGGATCACGCGGTCTGGAGCTCAGCAACGCGTCCGGAGCGCCGGCAGTGACGGCGTAATGATGATGGCGGCGACAAGCCAGCACAGAGCGAGACGCAGCCTGGATTGGATGGTGTTCAGCCACTCCACTTTTGGCGGGCAGGTGTCGGCAATTCCTGTCGTAGAACCAAAGCTGGGCTGGATGTGGACAAGTAGCGGGTGCAAAGGGGCTTTTTTTTCTTTAGCACTGGTGTGGATGGCGTCGTACCGCCGCCGCGAGCACTAGGAACAGGCAGCATGACATCACTGGCACATGCGGATCGGGTTAGCCTGCAAGCGCCAGCAAAGCGGCAGCTAACCGAGATGGGCTAGCTTGAAAAAGCTGCAGCGTGTGCCTGGGCGTTTCCCACCCAGGCTAACCAATTGTTTCTGCCGTAATTGTCCGCCCATGATTACGGTACCGGATTCGCCATGTCTTGAAACATGGGTATTTGGGCGAAATGAGACTTGATATCGCCTGCTGTTTGATTTCAGTGTCAGCAGGATCGCAAGGGGCGACTTGATACTGCGCCTCCGCAATCGGTCCTAGATGCAGTTGGCCGGTGATATGCAGTGGAGAGTAGCTCGATGATGCAAACCGGGGCTTGGTAGCGTCCGAAATAGCCGCTGACCAGGTAGATCATCTGCCCACGAACGTCTAGCGTTCCTTTTGCAGACAGCACTGGTCGTGGTCGTACACCTAATACCCGGAATGCCATGGCTTCAAAACACGGTCTGGAACACGCTGAACATGTGGGTCGTGATTTTCCCAGGCATCGCCCTCAACGCTAAATACAAGCTCGCATTATTATCGTCGCAAAAGTTTACAGATTCCCATCCTATCATCAGCGTTTGAGGCCCACGGTGTACAGGGCGGCCTTGACCATGTCCGTTGCCCATCCCGCCCAACCTCTGCTAGCCTGGATTATATTCAAAACCTTGACAAGCGAGCGATTCCACTGGTCTTGATCCAACCAGTCGTCGGCATATGGCTCATAAACACGTGTCTCCTTGCTACCAGGAGTGGGCGATGCGTCAATCTCCCATTCTCCAGTTGCCTTCTGACGGACATGCACCTTTGGCCCTACGACAAGTGCTCGTCCCAGGATGCGCGAGTCGGCTACAAAGCGTGTGCCTGCGTCCACTACATCCTCGACCTTTCCTACAGACCCTCCTGCCAGGAGGACGCGCGCCGCTGGGGTCACAATGGGTGTGTCGATAAAGTACGGGCAGAGAAGATTGACGCGGATGCCTTGCACACCACTGCTCACCCTGAGAGTCCTGAACAAGCCTAGCACAGCATGCTTTGCGGCGCAGTACTGCGGCTGAATGGCAATCGGCGCAAGAGATGCGACGGAGCCAAGCAGCAACAGATGGCGGTCGCGCGGAGAAGCTGAGGGTGCCGCGTCGATACTGCAGGGCTTCGAGCCGGGGTTCTTGGGTAGCCAAAAGCAAGCCAGGTGGGTCGTGTATAGCACACCGGTTATGTTCACGTCCATGATCTTGAAGTTAGGCGGGGGCGGGGCAGCCGCATCGAGGTTAGCACCCTCCTGGAGAATGTCAGGGCCAGCAATGCCCGCGTTGGCGACGACACAGTCCAGCCCGCCGTGGGGACTCAGCCTGACGGCCTCTTTGAACAGGTTGACTTGCGACTGCCAGTCTGTCACATCGCAATGTACAAAGTGGGCTTTGCCGTTCCCGCTGACCTCGGAGTTGATGCTGCGGCAGACGGCATCTCCTTTTTGCACGTTGATGTCGCCCACAATGACGGTAGCTCCATTGGTTACCCAGTGCTTGACGAAGCCGGCGCCAAATCCACTCGCTCCGCCGGTGACGAGAATGACTTTGTCCTTGACCCAGGCGGCATCGTACGGGGCCGTCACGTCCAAGGGCGGTGACTGAAGAATGTTGATTTTCTCGGGCTTGTACTCGTCCATTGCAGTGGAGGCAGTGAAGGGTCTGAGGAGTGCTAGTGTGAGTTGCAAAAGCTGTGGGATGGGTGTGTGTCGTTTAAGAAGAAGGGAAAATAGCGTGTGTGCTTAACATAGCACAGCTTACGATAGATAAGTACCCAGGTGCTCGGGCCTACACGTGGGGCCGTACCACAAGTATGCGGTGGCGTCAGCAGGATGCTCCGGGTGTGCTGGCTATGCCGTGGGACAGAGCGAGTGTGGTGATGGGGTGCAAGAGTATGAGGATGGTCGGAGACGGGGATGCTTGTGCTTCGGCGGGGCTCCCCGTATACAGCACTCATGCCCACTTGCTGGGAGCTCCCCGGTCCGGTAGCTCAAAGTCGGTAATCCCTGCGAAAATCTCGTCGCTCCGCCGAACCACTGCCACCACTGCCACCACTGCCACCATCGTCCAGCCATTGCCATTGTCGACTTGCTGCCTCGATTGCTGCGCCATGTCCGCCGTGTCCGCCGTGTCCGCCGTGTCCGCCAAGCCCCCCGCCCTCGACATCTCGCCCACGCGCCTCGTCGCAACCCTCTTTTACAAGGCAGACTCGCCCCATTGCTTCCAGCACGCCGACCTTTCCCCCCACAGCCCCGCCGACCCCATCCCCTCGGCCTCGCTCGAGCCCCTCAAAGATGGCGCTGTGCCCACCGAGAACCTCGCAGACTATCCCCTCGAGCCCCCGACTCCAGGGCCCAACCCCCTCGACAACCTCTACGGGAGCTACATTACCCAGCGCTGCCTGACCGACTTCGCTACCACCCTCACCACCATACTACCCGGCCTGCAAGAGGACTCCGTCACTAGCAAGAGGCTGGAAGCAAGCAAGCTGTGTCGTGTAGCAGAGGTGGCTTTCCCACTACCCAGCGCATCACCCGTCGCGCTCGAGACATTGCGGAGGCATGAGGCAGTATCGCGATTCGAGCGCGAATGGAACGTCGAGTGCGTCTTCCAGGAAGACTCGGTGTACCGGCGGTACAAGCGGCTGGCAGTGTTCGACATGGACAGCACGCTGATCCAGCAAGAAGTCATTGATGAAATTGCTTCGCTGATTGGCGTCGAGAAGGAGGTCTCCGCCATTACTGCCGCCGCTATGAACGGCGAGCTGGACTTTGAAGCGAGTCTGCGCGCGCGATGCAAACTACTCAAGGGCGTGCCCAGCAGCGTCTTCGAAACGCTCAAGCCAAGACTCACGCTGAACGAGGGCGTCAAAGACCTAATTACTGCGTTGAAACGGCTAGGCTTCAAGACGGCAGTTCTCAGTGGAGGCTTTACACCCCTGACTGGCTGGATGGGCGAGCAGCTTGGCCTTGACTACGCCTTTGCTAATCACCTTGTTGTTTCCGACGATGGTGCCACCCTGACTGGCGAATTGACGGGCGAGATTGTCCATGCCCAAAAGAAACGTCAACACGTCCTCGAGATTGCGGAGAAAGAACACGTCCTGCTAGACCAGGTCGTATGCATTGGTGACGGCGCAAATGACCTTCCTATGATGGGCGTAGCTGGCCTTGGAGTCGCCTTCCATGCCAAGCCAAAGGTGCAAATACAGGCTCCTGCTCGCTTGAACTCCAAGAGCATGCTGGACGTTTTATACCTTTTCGGTATATCAAAAGAAGAGCAGGAAGTCTTGTTGCAATGAGATTGCTTGGGCAGGCGGCGGGGCCCAGCCAGTCATTGTACCTGGTCTTCTTCATTCTGGAATCAACCTTCAACAGACATTCTCAGGATGCCTGTATACCCATAGAGTCGCGTCTCCGCGAAAAACTCATCTCAAATACGAATATTCGTCACCAAGCAAACGGTTTCCGAATAGTGCTTGAGGCATTGCGATACGGCCGCCTGCAAGTGTCATATCATCATGTGGGATTACTGACGTTCAATCTTCCGAATCCCAGCTACACACATATCGGCTGACTGGGATATCATGCTCCAAAATTGCTTCAGCCAAACTAATCTGAGAGGAAAAAGAGAAATACTATCGTACAACAACACAGTCATCCTCGAAATTCTGATTTCAACCGCCTATCCCTATTCCTTAAGCTCATCCTTAACAAAGCGACTCGTGCTCGCAACCTTAACAGCCAACAACCAAATACTAACATCGCTCATGATATCAGCAGTCGCCACATCTGCACCCACCGCTTTTGAAAACCAGTTCCGCATCTCGACTGCAACAAGCGAGTCGACGCCATAGCGATAAATGGCCTTTTGCGGGTCGATATCGTCTTTGCTTACAACCAGGAGACTGGACAGCTGAGACTGTATGGCACTGACAATAATATCGATGGCTTGGACGAGAGAAGTGGCTTCAGCGAGCATGTATGATGGACGCGATTTGTCTGTCTCGGTTGTGCTGGCGATACGCGCTGGAAGCGTGTCGAGGTAGTGGTAGATGGGCCGTGTGCTACCAAGCGGAGCTACAATTCCCATTGCACGCAAGTCAGCGGGCAGCGTCAGCGGCGTAATGATTTGCGATCCAATAGTGCTGGCATCTACGCGCGAGGCATCGCAGCAGTACCGAAGGAGATTGTGAATGTCCTCCATGGATACTTCTTCCAGCATGCCACGTACGCGGAGCAGAGCTTGGACTTGTTCGTTTTGCGCCACGTAGCCCACGCCTGTGACCATGCTAAGCGCTAAAGTGTGAGCACGCTGACCGTGGCGCATCCGGTGAGCGGCTAATGCGTCTTGGTATGTATTTCCAACCGTATAATTGGACTGACCAAAGGACCCCATGATGCCTGTGGATGAAGAAAGCATTACGAAGAAGTCTAGATCCGAGGGCAGGGCCTCGTGCAGATTCCAGGAGCCAGCCACCTTTGGCGCAAGCGATTGCTGCCATTTATCAATTGACATGTTGGCGAATGAAGAATCGCGCATCACCATTGCAGCTTGGATGCAGCCTCTGATTTCTGGCAAGTCGGAGAGAGAGTTCAGCATGGCATGGAGATTACTCTTTTCGGCAATATCGCACACTGGAGCTTTTACAACTACTCCCTGTGCCTGTAGCTTTTGGACGAATTGCTCGCGGTCAGTTCCTTCGATTGGAGCGCGTGACGGTAATACTAGATATTTGGCGCCTTCATGCACCATCCACTGGACAATGCTCTGGCCTATACCGCCAAATGCGCCAGCGATGAGGTAGGTTGCATCCCCATGAAGGGTTGGCTGAGGTGCATTAGGTACGACCTCCACATCGACTACTTCTTGACTGTCCATTTCAATCACGACTTTGGCCGCCGGCTTTTCTTGCAGCGCGCGGAATGCTTGCTCAACTTCGCTTTGCTTGAACAGCGTCAGTGGTCCAAAATTATCGTAAAGGCCGTTATCAATCCGTTGATGGACATGTTCGAAAGTGTCTTTAAATATGCGACTTTGCGACAGCTCTTGAAAGTTGATATTGACAAATGTGACATTACTGATTATCGGTGGCAGCGAAGTCTCATTCGATCGGTTTGCCGTAGAAACAAATGCGTGCTCCTCTCCAGTGTCGATTATCCGGCCAAAGGGAGCAATACAACGCCATGAGTTGCGTAGAGTGTCTGTCGAGCCCAGAATGACGTCTACGCCTCGTCCGCTAGTCAATTGCCGGATACCAGGCTCGAGGTCAGGATCTCCGGCAAGGAAAACATGCGACGTAGGGATGTTGCTGCCATTAGTCACGAATTCCAGCTCTTCTGTCGAGTTCACTGTCGCAAAGATAGTGTCACATCCTTGAGGCCCGCAGACCTTAATAGCTGCTTGACCCAGCGGACTGGCAGCATTGTGAACGAGTATGCTGTCGCCATTCTGGATATTAGCCCTTTGCACCAGGCCGTAGTAAGCGGTGCAGGATGCTATTGGGTAAGCCGCTGCTTCAGCGAAGCCGATTCTTTCCGGAATCCTTTGCAGTTGGAAAGATTTGCAGTGAATCTTTTGCGCTACACCGTTGCGCGTAACACCAAAGACCCGATCACCGATCTTGAATTCGGCGTCTATTGAATTGCTGGTTTGTACCACAACACCAGCAATTTCAATTCCAAGAGCATCGTCGTGTACCTGACCAAGCGCTACTTGGAGGTCGCGGGTGTTGAGTCCAACAGCTTTGACTTCAACAATCACGTCGCCAACCCCTATATTGACCTTCTCGAGAGCACTTTGTTCATAGTGAAGCGTGTTGAGTATTCCGGCCGCACCAATCGTCAGCACAGGACTTTCCAGCTCACTCCAAGGTCTGGAGACGATACTCGATATCTGCTTAGATGGCAGTACCTGAGCGACCAGCTCATCGTCGTCGACAACCCGTGGTGTGCATAAGACGCCATCAATCTCACAGTACTCGTCTTCGGGATCAGTCTGTGGCTGAAGCATTGTCTGGACCACTTTCATGACATTCGTCGTGAGCTTATCCAGTCCAGGCTCTCCGTTCAGACTGACGCTAACTAGACGGTAGTCTTCAGATTCAGTTGCCAGCGTACGGATGAGTCCTGACACGAGACCATCTGTAGGACTCTGGCTGAGATCTTGGGACTGCAGGGTAGGCCATATTACGGCACTAGCGCTTGAAACCAGGTACTTTATTTTGTCCAGATCGTCTTCTTGCATGCGGAGCAACAGAGTGCCGTCTAAGCCTGGGAGAAAAATACAAGTGGCGTTGGATACCTCGTGCTGCATAACAGACGTCCAGGGCACTGCAACCGCCTCGAGTCCGTACTGCGGCGATGCGATTTCTTGAAGCTTTTGCATCACATCTTGCTGCCGAGCATCCGCATCATCGTACACAACGAGGATGACTGTTTTCTTCGAGCTCGCCGATACCACCGTTGCTGCGTCTGGGAACGTCGCTGGCTGCCAATCGATGCGATACAAGCTCTTCTCCTTTTCCTTCCCGTCCGCCACAGAGCCATTATTCCGTCCAATCGTCGACGTTTCCAGTTCTCCGCAAAAGTACACCCGTTGCATACTCTCATCCGCCGCCGTAACAGCAAACAATTTATTGCGGAACCCGCGACCCGTCACCTTGGCGTGCACCCGTACATGCTCAGATGCAGACGCCGCGCACCCCAGGTCAGCCGAGAACCACGCATTGCTAAATCCCGTGGGCACCGTCGTGGCAGATGCGTTTTTGGCGTAGATGGAGTACGCGGGGAAGGTCATTTGCAGGACTGTATCCAGGGCTGCGGGGTGGATCATGTGCGCATCGCTGTAGGCATGTCGTGCGTGCTTCTCCCAGTCGCGCAGACCAATACAGCCTGTGGCCTGACTCTGCTCGTCCCAGCATACTTTGTGTACGCCGCGGAAAGTTGGGCCGTAGGCTAGGCCTGCGGTGCTGAACGCATTGTAGATTTCTGTACTGCTGATTTCACTGGTACACTGTGTCGCAGCATTTGAGAAGTCCCTGGCCATTTCCCGCATCTGAAGTGGTTGTTCTTCGCCTGTATCGGTTTGAGATGCATACTCAATTGCCACGGAGCCGGAGCAGCAAAGATGCCATGCTGTGTTCTCGTAGACATAGAGCGAGAAGTGGCTCCACGCGCTTCCAGGCTGCGTGTCTCGAGCGTCAACGCTCCCGGGGCGAAGCGTAAGCTGAATTTCCGTTCCACGCACATCTTCCGATAGCGTCATGGCCTTTGTAAACGAGACATCTTTGACTTTATATCCCGAGGCCCCAGCCGCTGCGCCGTCGCTGTAGAACTGGCGCACCGCCTCGATGACCATGACCAGCATGCCAGCCGCAGGCATAAGACACAAGCCATTGATGCGGTGGTCCTTGAGATACGGCGACTGGTCGAGCAGAATACGGTTCGTCCACCGGGCCTCGTGTTCGTTCCAGTCGGGTGTTCGCGACCCGAGCAACTCGTGATGCACAAACCTCGTCTGCCGGTACTGGATGCTTGTGCGGCCTTCGAGCCAGTACCGTTTCTTGTCTTCGAATGCGTAGCTCGGCAGCGATGTGAGCACGTTCGGGCGCGGGCCGGCGCGCTTGTTCACAGCCGTGAGGTCGATGTTGGCGCCGAGTGTATGCAGTTTGCCTGCGCACTCCAGCGCCGTGGTGTCGGCTGCGCGGTCGCGACGCAGCACTGAGACGTATTCTGATTTGGCGTCTCGGCCGTTTGTCCTGAGAATATCGGCAAGTGGCGAGCGCAAGACGGAGTGAGGTCCGATTTCAACAAAGCAGTATGTAGATGCGTCTGGGCGTGCGCAGATGTTCTGCAGTGCGCTTGAAAACTGTACTGAACCAGTAAGATTGCTGTTCCAGTACGCTGCGGTTCTGAGGTCAGCGAGTTCCTCGAGAGCTGCTCCGGTAACAGTCGATACGAATAACGGGGGGTGGGTAATTGGCTTGCCAGCTTCAATCTTCCGCAGAAGCTTGTCATAGACTTCGGCCACGGGCTTCATGTGATGCGAATGGTACGCCACATCGATCCTGAGCACATGGACCTGGATCTCAGCTTCTCTCAACGTATCCGTAAGCTGAGCGATGCCCTCGCGTGGCCCAGAAACAGTGAAGCTTTGGGAACTGTTGTAGCAGGCAATGACAACAGGGTCGTCGGGACACGCTGCGTTTTGCTCGTCTAGGCGGTTCTTCCACGACTCCAGCGGCGCCTGCACAGCTATCATGGCGCCATTCGACGGCTTCAGCATCTGCGAAATGCCAACGGCCATGCCGCGGAAGTACGCAATCATCCAGGCCGACTCGCGAGAAATGGCGTGGCTGGCGTATGCAGCGGCGATTTCACCAGAAGAATGTCCGACAGATATAGATGCGCGGACGTTCCAAGACGCCAGCAGATCTACGATAGCAACCTGCAAAGCCGTGCATATGGGCTGACTGAGTTCAGGCTGGTGGATAGCCGACTCCTTTTCCGATTTACCGTACAGCTCATCTGCACTTATTAGCCTGCACGTATCATAAACTCGAGAATCCGGGAAGCCGCACCTATCAAAGACCAGGAACTGCCGAGCGAGCGAAAGTACTCGTCTGCTTGCTGCATGTTTCTCTGGAAAACGTCGTAGACCATGAGTTCGCGGCCCATGCCATGCCACTGTGCGCCCTGGCCCGTGAACACGAAGCAGATATTCAAAGTCTGTTTTGAGCGTACGGGAGGGGACCAGGTAAGTTCAGCCTGGGTGTTTGTAGCAGCCACACAGACTGATTTCCAGGGAAACCGGGTCCGTTTCTCGACGAGAGTGAATGCGAGATCTCGGAGGATTTGGTCTCGGTTTTCGGTGCTCAGGTGATCCTGTGTCCACTTTTGGAGGGCGTCGATGGATCGGCCGAGTGCTCGCTCATCAAATGCAGACAGGATCAGTAGCTTGGACGCTGCGTTGCCATCGCTGGTATACGTATCGTTTTTGTCGTCGTCCGTGGAGCTAGAAGGCGTGTGGTCAGAATGCCCGGTTTCAGAACAGTCGCCGTTGATGGATGTGTAGCTCAGAGCTGAAGTCCCACGAGACTCAATCTCGCTACTGTCAATATCCTCGGTGCAGTGACGGCCATCTAGGCCATGTTCGCGAAGAAAGCTCCGCGCATCATCAATCACAACATGGGCGTTGGTTCCGCCGTATCCAAAGGAATTCACGCTTGCACGTCGAACGCCTCCTACAGGCCACCTTGTAGGCTCCATCGGGAATTTCAAGTTGGGCCCAGCAGCCATGACGGCAGGGTTGATACGTTCGGGATAGACATTTGGGGGAATAATGCCTTTTTCCAGAACCAGAAGCGTCTTGATCATCCCGGCGATGCCGCTGGCGCCTTCAGAATGGCCGATATGCGACTTGAGTGCGCCAACGAATATGGGTTCTTCAGGGGTCCGAGCAGAAAAGACACTGTTGATGGCTGCTGCTTCGCACGGGTCACCAACCAGAGTCCCGGTGCCATGGGCTTCGAAGTAGCGTGTTTCGTCGAGACCAAGACCTGCTCGTGCATATGTCTCGTGGATAAGGCGCTCCTGTGCAGATTGGCTGGGCGATGTGATACTCGGAGTGTTGCCGTCTTGCCCGCAACCAGTCGACCGGATGACACCGCGGATAAGATTACCATCAGCAATGGCTTGGGAAAGACGTTTGAGGACGAGGATTCCGATGCCCTCGCCTCGCGCATAGCCAGAAGCTCGCTCGTCGAAGGAATAGCAAACGCTGTCTTTGGACATCATGTTGAGACTGCTCAGCAAGGCGGTCGAGTCAGGCAGTAGACATAGATTGCTTCCGCCTACAAGCGACTGGTGTCGTCAGTGTGATCTTGAAGCTGTTTTCGATTGGCTGCTTACCATGTTAACAGTCCCTGCAAGTAGCTCCTGACATGCAAGATGAAGAGCGACTAGGCCCCCAGAACAAGCTGTATCCACCGTCATGCTGGGTCCGCTGAAGTCGTAGAACCAGCTTAAACGGTTCGACAGCATCGCCAAACCACTAGAGCCGACAATTCGGTAGTCTCCGGGCATTTGGGCATCTCTCTGGGTAATCTGGCTGTATTCTTGTAGAAGACAGCCCATGTGAACTGACGTCCGGGTGCCTATGGCTGCTTGCATGGGAATGCCAGCTGAGATATTGGGTCAGTTTATATTCACATTGACCCAGAACTGTTCACCAACCATTCTCAAGAGCATGGTAGCTGGTTTCAAGCAGCAAGCGCTGCTGCGGATCCATGCACTCGGCCTCGGCTGGCTGGATAGAGAAAAACGGAGCATCGAAGCGGGCTGGATCATCGGAGAGGAAATGGCCACCGCGATTCTTCACAGTGCCTGGCCGATGGCCATGTTCTTTGTAAAAGCCATCGATGTTCCACCGGTTCTTGGGAATCTCCGTCATGGTCGACCGGCGCTCCATGAGCAGTTTCCAGAGGCTCTCGGCATTGGTCACATCCTGTGGGAATTTGAAGCCAAAGCCAATTACGGCGATTGGCTCGACGCTGTTGCTAGGAAGAGGCGGGACGTGGGATTCTGCACTGCCGTTCGGGACCTTCATTGCGAATGCCCTCTGGGTCGATGTGCTGATGTAACGATTAGTTATCCACGATATCCTTGGCCTGCCGTACGTCTGTACTATTTCCTCGTGTATTATTTCCTAGCGGAGACATGGATTAGGTGCTCGGTAGACTTTGCGACACTGGATCAAGATGTCATCTGTGTCCCAAAACCTGATGAGTCAACTGTCTGCCCCACGCAAGTACCTGTAAGCAAAAGGGTCAAATCGACATAAGAAAAGGTTGGCTTAGGATAGCAGAAGCAGCTGGAGATGTGGAATCAGCCGATTAAAATTTGCAAGAGCTCCCAAGACCAAGCTCATGTGCATATGCGGCCGGGCGTTATCTGAGGCAGCAGCGTCTATCGGCATCTTGACCATATGAGGAGCCATGTCACGACGGGTATCCAATAAAGACTCTGCATAGGCGCCGGCAAATGCGGAGTAGCATTTACTCGATTTCGACCAATGCAGTCGTAGTACATACATAGTGTTGGAACAAGAGTGGGAAATGCGGCAGTGCGGGCACCTTTTCTACTGGCTAAGCCTATCTCGGTGGAGCTCCCTCAATTCCCATCTCCGGCAACAATACATGTGCGCTTCAAGGACGGAAATAACTGTAGGATTTCTGGTATCTGCTGATTTGCAACATGTCTCGGGTCATGTACCCGCATATCAAACCCCTACACCTACTTGGATAGCGAGCTAGATCGACCGCGGCGGCGGCGGCTGCTTACATGCATATCAGCTGATGAACTTTGCGCCCTGCGGACCGGATGATTCCACCAGTGTAAAGTTCAAATTCCGACCGATGATCTCAAGCGTGCAAATGAACATCTCAGGCCAGTGTCTTCAGACATGCGCCTTTTGGTGATGAATCTCGACGCTGCAAAACCCGTCCTGGTAGCGAACAGCCAAGGCATTGGTAGGTAGCAAAAAAATATTCAAGCCAGTCACAATAGAACACGACAGCAATGGGGAGAGAAAAAAAAATACTATATCGGGTTTTCAGGCAAGCAGTCAAGAAAGAGTGTGTTGAGGGTATGCTCCATCAGCACACGGCCAGCTACGAATCACAAGGCATACTTTGTTCTTGCAACCTCGGTCCATGTCCAAGAGGGGTCGAAAGCTAGTCTGGGCCCTCACCGACAAGCCAGAAGTGACAAGCCCTTCTGATGCCAAGCCATTCTCAATATCGGCCACGGTTAGCGGTTCTGTAGTTTCTTGTCTAACAGCACGCAGCATGCACGGAGCTACTAGCTGCTTTGCAAGTGGAGCTCTACCTGTCCTTACTCGCCGGTAAGCCGTCCATGCAGCGCGGAAGCTATCGAGTTGCCGCGGGTAAGATATTTTCCCGTCTAAGTACTTAAAGTCAATCCGTTAGTTTCCGTCTTTTAGTCGTGGCTCACGGTTACAAGCCGTTACACGGCATTTGTGGGGCGTACGTGTACGTAAGATTACTGCTTACTTGTAGCCTCTAGTGTTTATGCATAGTGACGTAGATGTAGTGGTATGTGCTATTGTTTTTCTGTATTGAAGACGGTTTTGGTAGGGTATCTGCACTGTCGGCCTCGTGGTGGGTTGGACAATTCCAGAAGGGTCAAGGCCTTTCTCTCCTGCAGGACGAAAAAAATGAGAGAAGCAGATGCATCCTTTGTACAACAGAAGTGTAGTGAACAAAGGCGTCTATGTGTCCATTGATTCTGCGTATTTCGAAATGTCGATACGCCATTATACATAGTGCCGCATAATCAACTGATCATGATGAACGAGGTCCAGCATTAGACAACAAAAGACATCAGGATCTCGAGACAGCCATGATTGAATTTGAGGTGCCATGAACTTTCGAGTCATTGTACCGGACTTCTTCTGTCAGATTGTCAGTGAGGTCTCATTGTCGGCTTAAGATTCTCTTTGATGTTCGATTAATCAAACATGAAAGTGGGGTTTCAACATTGCATGAGGCGACATCTCTTTGTCGTGCTCTCCATGACGGCCGGATGGCCTGAGCTAGCCCAATCCAACGACCTGTACCTTCGAGAACAAATCTCTTGTAAGCTGACCGTGGCTGCTTCCAGGCCCCATTGCTGCACTATCAAGTTGCGCGTGATTGCCATTGTTTAGCGATGAACAAGCTGGAAGTCCACTTGTGAGCCAAAAGACGCCACTCAAGTCCGATCAAGGACGCAGCATTTTGCCAAAAGGCCGTTGAACATTGCGAAGTGATGTTACATGCACAACATGAAAAGAATGCATGCCAATGTGAAACAACCATGCTGCTCTCTCCACGTCCCACCCAGTAACCAAGAAAAGTGCTCGCTTTGAGACCCCACCGTCGCTGAACAGGTAAGTAAGCAGACTATCGTTTCACAAGTTCCATTCATCCGGCACCAAAAAAAGGCCTGGAACCAGCATGTTATTGTCGGTGATGGGGAAAGGCGGAAGGGGATTCGCAATGCCATGTCGTGCATCATGGGAACAAAGAAAAAAGCCATTTTTTTTCTTTCAGCTGCAGGTCCTGTACGTAGTTCGCTCAGCCACCACGTGTCGAGTCAGCCCATGGACATGCCGAAGGAATCGTCTCCCTAGATCCGGGTATAAGGGGCTGCGAGGGATATAGGGTCCCCAGGTGAGGCTCTTTGAGGGTGTGTAGAGTGCATACAGCCGTGTCTTTGAAGGAGGATGGATTGCCGTTAGAGACGAGCCGGAAACTTGCAGTCATGTTATATTCTGCACAGAGTTTTTCGGGTGTTTATTTGAGATTTGAGACATTTGAATGTCTCTTTACTGCTTCATCTAGTCGTCCTTGGTCTTTTGTACTGTTTCAGGCGTACGTGTCGAGGAACTTGTTCCCAACGGTTCGGATGCATCGACGCGTCCTCAAGTCAGGTGTTCGGTATATTTAATGCAGGGATAGGACAATAATAGGGCAGATTATCAGGGATTGCATAGCTGGGAACGTCCCTCGGAATTGGGGGCGGGGCTACGCTTGAGATGGAATGGCATGCGGTAGCGCGGGGCATCGGCGGGGCAGCTTTTGGTATCTCGTGAGTCGACGGCCATCTCCGACGGCTAGAGGGAACTTGGATGAGACGATAAACCTCTGCCCAGTTTGCTGCTGTCGTTTTCAGCAAGGCTCATAGTATCGCAAAGCGCCTCGTCATCCGCCCGTCCCGTCGATATGACTGCGCAAACTGCTCAAGGGCTCACGCCAGAACAGCTCGCTTTCTTCAATGACAATGGATATCTCCTGATACCGGACGCGCTATCGCAAGATACGGTCAAACAGCTCCTAGATGATACCAACAAGATGCTCAACGACTTCTCGCTGGACGACCATCCTATGACCAAGTTCTCAACAGGCGGCGAGGACGGCGCAGACCATGTGGGAGACAGCTACTTCCTAGACTCTGGAGACAAAATGCGCTTCTTTTTCGAAGAGGGTAGGTCGAATTGATGCCCACGACCTGAGGTCAATGGCTAATGCGATAACAGACGCCTTTGACAAGTCCGGCTCTCTAACAAAGCCCAAACATCGCGCTATCAACAAGATTGGCCACTACCTGCACGAGCTGTCTCCTTCGTTCCGCAGCATCTCCCTCTCCGATCGCAATGCCGCAATTGCCGCCTCGCTAGGGTTCCGCGACCCACGGGTCCTGCAATCCATGGTCATCTGCAAGCAACCCGAGATTGGCGGTGCCGTGCCACCACACCAGGACAGCACTTTCCTGTATACCGATCCGCCTAGCGCAGTTGGCTGGTGGTATGCGCTCGAGGACGCGACACAAGAGAACGGGTGTCTGAGCTTTGCTGCTGGGAGCCATAAGCGAGCTGCTATTGACAAGAGGTTTGTCAGGACGGGCAATGGAACTGGCTTTATCGACAACGATGGGTCCAAGTTTCCGAAAAGCATAACGCCAGAGAGCGAAAAGGGCTACGAGATGGTGGAGAAGGAGGAAAAGTACGCCATGGGCGAGGTCAAGGCCGGAACCCTGGTTCTCATCCACGGCAATATCCTCCACAAGAGCGAGAAGAACACGAGCGAGAAGAGCAGGAACATTTACACATTCCACGTAATCGAGGGCGAGCAGAAGTATGACGAAAAGAACTGGCTGCAACCGCCGGCGCAGGGCTTCTCCAAGTTGTTCCGGGAACAGGCGGAAGCGGCGAATGGAGCCAACGGGGCGGATTCGAGTAATAGACTTGCAAAGGACTGGTAGATGTATTATTGCGAAAGCGCATGTCGACTATGACTTGCTTTGTACACATAAGCCAATGCCCCCGAGCACAAGTGCCATGCCTATCCAGGTATCTGTCTCATGTCAGCCTCTGCGCTGTACCGGTTGGTCCGGCCGGCGTGAACATACCTCTACTAATAACCTTTTTATCTACCCACCACTCGCCCAGCACCGTGAACATGAATGCCAGCGAGTTTGTGATGGGCACTGTCAAACTTAATTCCGCCTTTCCGATCAATATGAAGAACCACACGCTCCCCGTGACGTTTAGCAGTAGCGGTATGGCATAGGCGGGCCGACTGAGTACTCCAATGACAGCATACAAGACGCCAAGGACTTTCTTCTTGAGCCAGGAATTGTCTGGATCGGTCAGGGCAGGGCGCTGGGGCGGCGTGTAGTTTCTGTACATGTATATGTGAGCATTTGTACGCCAGACAGCCAGGCCTTGGAGGGAGCGGCTAACATTGCGGCCTTGCGCATAAAGGGCGTGGTGAGCCCCCAACAGGCGCCTACTATCAGGAAGCCCAGGACCCAGCGGAATACGGAGGGTTGCGGCTCATTGGCTACAGGCGCGTCGGGATCCATTGCGGTATGGCAATGCTATGGGAAAATATTTGCAGTTCAGGAAAACAACAGAAAAGAGTCTAACGGCAGAGTTGAGGTGCCCAACACGGCCGCCGGCTTGGCCACCCCATGACGCGCTGGGCCGTGCGCAGGTGCACGACATGGAGCCGCCATTGCCCAACATCCTCTCCCCACCCTCTTCACAGCAACAGATGGCCATCTATTGCTAAGCGGACCATCTGCAATCCATCCGGAAACAATGAGAAACCCTGCGCCAACCACCCGACCCGGAACCTTCCGTTGAGGACTTCCAATCATCGCACTCCGGCCCCCAACAACCAATGGCATTCCCATTGTCGCCACATTCTATTGCGCGGGATGCTCCAACGTGTAGCGCGGGACGACGGGCCTGACATGTACCATCAATAGGTCACGGCCACGGCTCAATCTACGGCGTAGCAAGTCCCTGCAGAAGTAGGCCATGTTCATGTCTTTGATCCACCGTCCTGGGTCCGCTCTGATCAACCCACCGTCCAGGCCATGGCCCTTTTTGCCTCGCTATTCAGCCAAGCAGTTTGTCTGTTCCTTAGACTACCGAAATCCCGCCGTTGCTTGGAGTATTTCCCGTGCGATATCCTGGTATTCCGAACTGGCGTTGGGCAAGAGGGGCCGGCCATCTCTCGTGGCGACCAAACCCGCCATGCACCGCAACACTGAACGAATAATGAATTCAGCGGCCGGGCTCGCGGTCGACCACAATTGGCTCCAGTCGCCGTGTTTCAAGACCAGCACGAGAGCTCCCTCTTGCTCTACGCTCGGGTCAGACATCACCTTGCACAAAGAGATGGTCGTCAATAAAGAAGTCAACTACAACCCGATTGTCGCGCAACAGGCACCCGCGGAATAAGCTGCCCAGACTGGGTAAGGAACCTAGCGTCTTGTATGTCGCTACACAGGCCATGTGCTCATCGTCATCCCCGAGCATCCAATCAAGCCCGTGATCCCCAGATTCGCGATGTTTGGCATCTGGGCGGTGCAGAACGCCTCCAGATTACCTGAAACCAAAGGGCTGAGGCTTAGGCCATGGCCCATTCAACCCTGGGCCAGCCCAATAGGACTTAGCGCGCTAAGTATAGACGGAATGCACACGGCGTGGAGATGGCTGGCGAAGACCACTGCCATGTTGGGAGATGTGAAATCATATATCTCTCGTGGGGTTTGTTCGACTTGTTTGGGCTTCCGCATCATTGGCGCGTCGCAGAACTTGTTCCTGCAGGCTCGAAACTGCTCCTTGATCAACAAAGTACAAGTATCACGGCGCCATCGTGCTTAGACTCTTGCACTCTTCACCAAACCCCGATATACAATATATTTTTCCCACCTACGCACTGCACAGTCGCGAGGCTTGGCCCTTATCCAGCGTTCGTGTCCTCCAGCCGCGCTCACATTCTGGTACAGTCAGGCCAATGCAGGCGATCAGCAACAAAGACGTAGAGGTGGCCGACCTCGACCGCCTATTCGAAGAATATGTGGAGATGGACCTGCTACACCCATTCAACAACTCAGCATCCGGCCAATCCAGCTCAGATGAGCTGGCGCGTCTCTTCGAGCTTGCATCGTCGAATGAGAGTGACTTGTTCAGGGCCAACCCTATACTCGATCGGGAAACAAAGGCTGCTTGGCACAAGGCTCTCCAGGACTGCGATGAGAACCTCACCTCACCATGGTCGGACGTTTCTACCTCATCTTCTTTTTCCGCCTCCTCCTCCACTGGAAAAGAGTCTCCCAGTGATTCCGCGTCGTTGAGCTTCCCCGCCGTCGTTGAGCTTGACAGAGATCAGTTGCAGTCGGCCTCTCAGCCTTCCACACCTCGACCCCACACCTCCGGCCGACTATTCAAGAAGGCTGTGTCTTTTCACAGCCAATTCCAGCATTGCGGGATCAAGAAGCCGTCAAAAAAATCGTCGACGAGATCTTCCTCCAAGATGATGCAGTCGACTCATCCCCGCTTTTACACGCCGGACTTTTGGAGCCGCAAGACGGAAACTCCGATCGGTTGCCTGGCGAGGAACTCGTGCGCGTCATACACAGCATCACCCAGGCCGGTTCAGCAAGAACAAGACCATGATTTTCTTATCCAGGAATACCAACAATCTCGCACGCACACCCACTCGCTGTTACCATCTCACAGTGGAAATGTATCACACCACCACTCGACTTCTCTCATGTCAGCAGCCATCGGGACTTGCAGCGTAAACGGCTACAACGAGAACATGCACCTTGAATACGGCTCTTGCAACGCGTCGAGTGCTGGGCTTCCAGCCTTGCCAACCCCACCCTCTTCCCTTCCCCTAGCCGCAGAACCCTGGTGTCCAGACACATCCTGTACCCTGGACTTTGACCTTACAGCCTCGACCGACTTTATCGACACGACAAAGGCATCCAACTGGTGGAATACCTCAGTGCCCAGTACTCAACCATGCTACTCTATCGAAAGCCCCTTGCACTTTACAAGCCAGGCTCTAGATGTCCCCGGCCTAGGCATAACAAGCGCCACCACCTCGTTTGACTTTGGCGTCGTAAACGCCCACACACTCGCCTCTTCAGCCTCTTCTTCTTCTTTCAACATGCCCTCATACACCCCAATGCAACCCCCACCGCACCACCGCCCCTCATCCCCACAATCCCAACCGCGCACCCACCCCCGCCGCAAACCAGGCTCGCGCTCCCGCCGCCCCTCGCAGCGCCGCAAATCCACATGCAGCACTAATAGCGCCAGCACCGCCACGGCCAGCGTGGGCTTCGTCAACTTCACGCCCGAAGACAGCAGGAAGATTCTCACGGGTGTGGCGCCCAGCGGGAGCAGTAAGACCAAAGCACGGCGCGAGAAAGAGGCGGCGGATCGCCGGCGGAGATTCAACCAGATGGCTGTGCAGGCTGTTATGGCTGTGGGTGGCAATTTAGATATGATTCGTAGTCTTGAGAGGGATGGGCTGTTGGTTTCTTAGTGTTTTTTTTCTTCTTTCTCTTCTCTTCTCGTTCGTTTGTGTCAAATAGGGGGAAGGTAGGGGGGGGGGTGGGAAGTTCCGGTTATTGTTATTGTTATTGTTGTCGTTTCGGTTTCACGATGATATGGAGTGTGAGAAAATGGGATATGGCACGATGACGATGACAATGATGATGATTTATGTATTGTACCAATGGTTAAAACTTGTCTGTTTTTGCTGGATACATTTCGTGTGCACTTTTGTCTGTGCCTGTCTGTCTGTGGTGATGGCAACAGCTCGTGCCGAAGACGCACACACATGCGACTCCGGCATATTTGGATTTGAGTCCCCCGAGTTAGATTTTTTTTCGGTCGGGCAGGACGAGCATGCTGTGTTGCATGGCCTCTTCATTTTCGGTGTGTTTAATGTCGATTATCTTGAATTATTGTTTCTGCGCCTCGCCATTTGTTCAGCCGCCAGCTTCCACCTCGAGCCTAGCCAGCACAGCCTCGACAACGCCCTTTGCGCCAATGCCTCTGTCGACACCGCCGAGCGTCTTTTCCTCGGCCTCGAGATCAACCGCGCCTTCGTACACCTTTACAATCATGTCCTCGTCGACCTTGGAGCCGCACGCCACCAGGCCGCGGATCAGGGTACTGACTCTGGTGATTTCGCGCATAACACCCGGGTCAATATCGTCGTTTTGACTCGAGTACAGCGTCTCGGTCACGCTCTCGTCCAGCCGGTTGATGCCGACTTCCTTTGGATCTGCGCTGGTGGCAATGTGCTTGCTGATGAAGATGTACCCATTTACGCCGAGCACGATGTCGATTTCGCCCGCGGCCGTGTTGAGCGTAAAGACCTGGCGGCGACTGCGCACAACACCGCCCTTGCGACTGAGGATACCGCCGCCGGCGCCAGTCAGACTGGTAAACAGGCCGTTGCGCAGTTTTCCGTACTTGAGCGAGCGCGTGTGCAGCGAGGCAGTGCCGTCCTGGTGGAGACTCTGCACTTCAGCGACGAGCAAGTCGCCTTCCTGGAAGAAGGTCCGAATGTTGAGTTCGTCGACTGTTGTGCGCCTTCGGAGCACGCCACCGGGGAGATTGATACTGGACAGCGGGAGGTTGGCGAGCATGGGCGCTGCGATATCCACGTTCCACTTTTTTGTTCCAACCGTCATGATCCGGCCTACGACCAGATCGCCAATCTCCGGCTGGTACCGCGCGCGCAGCGCCTGGACGGACAGCAGCTTGTTTGTTTTGTGCAGCGTTCCGGCGACGGTGGATATTATGGTTGTCGAGCCAGCGGGGACAGAGGGAATGTATGTGCCGTGGCCGCGCATCCATTGCGGGTCGGACGTGATGTGCTCGCCGGGCGTGACAATGGCTTTTGAAGACGAGATAGCGAGGTCCTCGTCATCTTCCATGTCGACATCTGAATCAGACTCGTCCTTTGCATCGCGCCGGGGTGGGAGGGGCGCGCTGGGCGGGAGAATGGAGACGGGCATTTCTGCGGTGCGCCTGCGGAGGCGATTCCGTCACGGATACAGCACGACTCTTCAATTGACCAGTTATCCGGGTGTGAATGGCAGGCGACTTTTCTCAGGGTGGGTTTTCGTCAGACGAGGCTGGTGCTGTGGTGATGATGTCGATGTTTGTGGAAGCTCTGTAAATTTTGGCGGGGATCAGAAGCTCTGGGGCGATGATCCCTGTGGAGCTACTTGGCCGGAACAGGCCTAGACTCGACGCGTCCGGCGTCGACACTCACGGCGGTCGCGACACCGCCGCTCAACGTCATCGCACCAATAATCCCCAACTATTCTTCACCTGTACCTGCATTGCTACCGTCGTATGAACCCAAGACATGCCGCCAGCCTCGTCGCCTTCCGTGTCTCACTTCAACGAACCCTTCATCTCTGCCCTCGATGCCGCTGCCCCCAGCAATGCAAGTGACGATCCAAGCTACTATGCCCGCTACCCCCGGACACTGGTCACCACATCCAACCTCGACACATTCATGACGGGTACCGGATCCGCAATCTATCAATCTCTCGTCCCGCTGCTTGAATCTGCCAACCACGAGCTCATCCTCGTGACATGTTTCTGGGCGCGGTCCGCAACCCTCGACACACTCAACCACGTGCTGAGAAGACTGTCCGACAAGGCTGTGAGACGAGGCACGGATAAGATTAGAGTCCGGCTATGTTTTTCATCAAGCTCCCTTTTCCAGAAACTGTTCCACAACCAGGCCATAACAGGCCAGACATATCCTCCCGCCACATGGGTCAGCAAGCTGGGTCTGCCCGACCCGTCGGAGCTGAACGGCCTCAACCTCGAGATCAAGTCGATATTCCTCATGCCGTTTAGCGTTATGCACCCCAAGTTCATCATCGTGGACCGCCAAACAGCCGTCCTGCCCAGCTGCAACATCAGCTGGGAAGAATGGTTTGAAGGCGCCGTCACCCTCTCCGGGCCCATTGTATCGCAGTTCTTAAAATTCTACCGCACATTCTGGGAGCGGCGACAAGACGAGCCCACGACTCTCGACGCAGAGCCCCTCACCGCCGTGAAACCCGTCGAAGCCCTCCAATCCTCAATCCAGCTCTCATCCACAAACACGCCCAGCATCTTCCTGCCGAGCCCCCACCGCCGGAACCCACACTTCAGCCTCTTCGCACCGCAAGATGCACTACAAGCACCCCCAACACCACTCAACACGTTTCTTCTCACGCTGTTTGCAAACGCACACCGCACAATCCGCATCCAAACACCCAATCTGACGGCGCCTCCCGTCCTCGCTGCGCTCTTGCGCGCCCTCGCCCGCGGCATCCACGTGACGATTCTCACATCAGCCCGCCTCATGATCCTCGAGCAACTCGTAACCGCAGGCACCACGACGCACCGCTGCATGGCCAAGCTCATAAAGCGGTACCGCGCGCTGTGCTCCACGTACCACCGCCACGACACGTCGAGCGTCGACGAGGAAACAGCAATGGCTGCAACCCAGCCGGGCACCCTGCACGTGTCGTTTTTCGAGCCCATGGGCGGCGCCCGCGGCAAAGGCGACGAAAGGGGTGAGCCGCAGCAGTCGCATTTGAAAATGACGGTTGTCGATGACGACGTCGTGGTCCTGGGATCAGGGAACCTCGATCGCGCCAGTTGGTATACCAGTCAGGAGTTGGGCGTGGCGTTTTTCGGCGCCGACCTCGTGCGTGGGATTACGGGCTCGGTGGATGAGGCGGTTGAGGGGAGGGTGAAGGTGCTGTTTGATAGTCGGAGGGAGTGAGTGTAGTCATGTTTTTGGGTGTCGTTTGACGAGGCATAGCATAGCACTGTTGCATCAGGCATGGATAGAGATGGGGGAAAAAGCGACTGCCAGATCATGCATCCATTTTACTATTAATGTCGGTCGCTTACTACGCAAAACAGACTGTGTATACCACGACGCTTCTACCTTGGCAGCATCTGAGCTAGCTTTGCATGTGTAAGTGAAGGAGGTACAGCAGCAGTAACAGAGCAAACGAATATCTACAAAGGAGCCCGCTCTCCCCCCACGCAATACGAAGAAGAAGAAAAAAAAACACGGTAAAGCAAAATCTCTACAGGAAAGATAACAAACAAACAAACAACTAGCTTCGCCTTTGTGCATATGTATATAAGCTATATTATAATAGTAATAAGTGTATAGAGCGACAAAAGACATGCAATCTGCACGCTCGAAAACTCTGAAAAGAAAGAAGAAAAGAAAAAAAACCAAACAAACAAGAAGAAAGAGAGAAAGAAAGAAAGAAAAGAAAGAGAAGCTAGCTTCATATGATCCACATCAGCACTTGACGGATCGTTCCCACCGCATTTTTTTTTGCATACCAGAACCATGCAAAAAAAAAAATACCAAAAGGGCGAGAACTACTACTTTTTTGGAGAGGAGGAGGTAAGGTGGGTGTTTATACCAACGTAATCTAAGTTAAGAGAAAAGAAAAGAAAGAAAAAGGGGGGTGCTTGCTTGCTTGCGCGCGCGCAGGGCAAAAAGAAAAAGAATACATGCCACCCCCAACAGAAAAAAAACACACACAAAAAGTTTGTTTGCCTAATGCTCCCTTGCAACCGCTACAAACCCCAAGTCCTTGTGTAATAAGCGCGCTGTTGTTGTTGTTGTTGATAAAATATGTCATGTTATGATATGTATATGCGCGCAAGGGGGGAGAGGGGCCCCCAAGATCTCCCCACCTTAAAATGTTGAATACAAAAAAAGATGCCTTTATAAATGTTGGTCGTGATGCATAGCGGAGGAGGAGCCCGAAATAAGGATGTAGAGTGAGAAAGCGTGGGTTGAGAGGAGGGTAAATAGTAGTGCATGGCGTGGTGCAAGAATATATATATAAACGGGCCCACTACTACATGGAGCCCATTGCAATGAGGGCTTCGATGGCGTCGCGCTCAGCGCCGGAGCCGGCAACAGGCGTCGTGGAGGCATGGAAAACAGTGGTGGTGGGAGAAGTGCCCGCGTTCACGACGTGATTACCGCGGGATGCATGGGGAACAGCAAGGAAATGTTGAAACGAGGACGTGGCAGTGCGCGCGTGGGGATGATGAACATGATGGGCATGATGATGCTGAGGCAGCGAGTGGGCCTGGGCGGATATATTCCGGTAGCGCGGGTTGCTCGTCTGAGTTCGGCTTAGATAGTTGTAGTCACGGTGTTCTCGGCGCGGACCGCAGCGGGTCTCGCGAAGAGCTTCAGGGCCCATGGTCGCCCAGTCTTCTTGATCCGTATCGTCATTGAGCTCTTCCTCCAGCTCCATGTCCGAGGCCGAATCCGAGTCGGAACTGCCGTCTGAGTCGTCCAGCGACATCTGGTCGGCCATGTCCTCGTCGTCGTCCTGGCGGTGGGGCGACCATGAGCCGGCATTCCAGCTGCCGGCGTACACGTCACGGTCCTGTCGCAGCTTGGGTATTTGCAGGCTGCCTCCTGTGCTGTCGATGCTGTCCGGCGGCGTCTGCCCGTTTCCAGAGCGCTTGCCGCCAATCGGCATTCCCTGAGCCTGCGCGCCTGAGCCTGCTACGCTCCAGCGCCCCCAGCCGACCTTTTCAAACTTGACCTGCCCGTGGAGGCCGCCTCCCGCCCGGTGTTCCAGCGCAGCAACGACCAGCCTGCGTGCCTTGGCGGGAGGCAAGCCCGAGAAGCCCGGGACCGCCTGGGTCAGGTGTGCCATCATCTCACGAATGGGCATGGCACCGTGGCCGACGAGAATGTCGGGCAGGTGGTGCTTGGCCAGCATCAAGGCCGTGATTTGACGCGTCGCATCCAGGCCCGCCAACGCCTCCTTGGAGAGAGCCGAGGGCTGATCCTGCGCCGCTGCATGCTCCACCGCATCCTGGAGGTCTATATCCAGAGACTCGTCCTCTGGCGTCTGCACGCGGCCAGCCACGGGCATGGGGCGTCGCTTGTGTGCCGGGAGCGTGGGCGAGATGGAGCTCGGGGGCGTGGGAAGGGTGCCCGTAGAGGTAGCATGTCCACCGTCCTGACGCCCAAATGCCATGGCAATGTTGGACATGGGCTTGGGAGTGATGGTGGCCATGTTGCAGCTGCGAGGCAGGGGGGGTTTGGCGGAGTCAGAGCGCGAGTTGGCTGGGCAGTCGGGCGGGACGGACAAGACTGTTAGACTGCGGACATGTGAAAGTCAGCAAGAAAGCGGCTTGAAGAGGGCAGGTGTGTCGAGGCGAGTGTGGAGTAGGCCATGGCCGACGTACCTAAGGGTCTTTGGGATAGGGTCCCTGGAGTTGCGGCGAGAAGTTGAAGCTGCAGGGCGAATTTGGGCCTTGAAATTTAAGACGGTGATAGAAGCGTGCTACGCGACAAAGAACTAAGCGACAAACGGGCAGAAATGTGCTGGCGGTGTGTTGTGGTGGACAGGTGCAGCTGTGGAGCTCGACTTGACCGTTCCGAGACGTCTCGCGATCGGCGATGTGGATCAGCGAGTCGGTGACGGGAGGATGCCGATATAGCGTCGTCGGACCAAGAGCAGTTGGCAGCGCGGGTGCGGTGTGTGCACGGGGGGGGGCGGCGAAGCGGGTGGCAGGCGAGGGGAGCGGCAGACGGAGCGGCCGGCGAGGAGCGAGTATGTATGTGGGCGTGAGCGAGTATGTGTATGTGTATGTGCGAGCGTGAGTGTGAGTGTGTTGAATATTCCAGAGATGTGCGTGCGATGGATGTGTCATGAGCGCAGCAGGGACTACGCCATGATAAGGCCTCGCTGGTTCCGAAGGCTGGCCTGGCTGCTGCCCGCCTGCCCGCCAGCCCGCCTGTCTGCACGCAGCGCAACCAAGGAAGCCAGGCGCATGTGCATGCATCCCACGCCCCTGCGCCCCCATTGGCCCGGAACCAGCTGACTGTGTCCCACGGCTGCCAGGCGTCATGGGCGCTCCCTCTTGCTGTCGCTGTCGCTGTCGCTGTCGCCGCCGCCCTCGCCCATCGCAGTAATGTTCGGAGTAGCGCAGTGCAGCCCCAGGGACTTTCTGCGACTCACCAGCCAGGGTCCCGACGCGCCAACAAAGCAGGGCAACATGCAAAGTTTGCCCTAACTCTGCAAACTGCACCAGACACCCCAAGAGCCGCATCGCCGTGTCGTGTCGTGTCGTCGTGTCATGTCGTCGTCGTCGTGGCCCGTCATGACTCCTCCTCCTCCAAGGCCAACCAGGCCACGCGCGGCCTCCACACCCGTTCGCAGCCGATACAAGGCCCGTCGTCAGCGCCTCTCCATATCGGCGCTTTGTACTGGCCATCCGTCATTCCATGCCTCGCATTCGCAGAAACCCATTGGCGTTATCGTGCCGCGGGGGGCTCCATGGCGCCGCCGCCAAAAAGGTCCGACCTCGCTGTGCCTCTGCATCGCACACGCACACGCACACGCACACACACTACCACCTCCTTGTCCTCCTCCTCTTTACTCACCCACCATCAACACACGTGCTGCCCCGACAGGTCGCCTGCGACTGCAAGACATGGCGCATGCCGCTCCTCGCAACTGCACCCGTGGTGACGTGAGCCTCGCCCTGCCATGCCCCCGCGTGGACAGGGCCTCAGCCATGATTCGCGTTGACGACATACTTGGTGATGGCCTAGCGCATCCGTCCCCATGTTAGCGATGCCTCTACACAATGCCCAATTTCCGCCTCAAGGCCTGACGTACCGATTTCAGCACATTGATCTGCTGCACTGTCCGGTTAAACACCGCGCGATACTGCTCCAGGTTCTGCTGCACCACGTCGTCGCGCGTACTGCGGCCCTCGCAAATGGCCTTCATCTGCGCCTCCATCTGCCGAGCCCGTTAGCAACACATCCATCCCACCCGTGCCTCCCAACAACTGACTGCACACCACTCCACTTACCTCTTTGCGCAGAAACGGCTTGCTCAGGCTCGTCTCAAACCCCACATTGTCATATCCCTTAATAAGCGCCACCCCCAATGTCGTCGGAATGAATTCTTGAACTCCGCCTGTGGTGCCCTCGCTGCCCTGTCCACTGACTGCTCCGCCGCGTCCGCCACGTCCTCCTCTTGACCCTCGGCCTCTGCCTCGGCCTCTGCTCGCTGCTGCTGCTGCTGCTGCTGCACCACCACCACCCGCCTTGGGTCGTGCAATGACATAATCGCGCTCTTTGATCTTGGCAATGTGCTCGGCCATGGTCGCGTCCGTGCCAATTCCATTGGCATCCATGAGCGCAATCAGCTCCGGCTCTGTCAGGTAGCCCGGCGCCGTCGTTTGCCCGTCCACCATGCTTGCTTCTGTCGGCTCAAACGTCTCCCCCACGGCATACTGCGGCAGCACCTGACTGCTTTCCCATTTGTCATATGGGTACACTTCTAGATAGTTCCGTGCAATTACGCGAAGCCCATGTGCGTGGAACACCTCGCCCCCATACTCGATTTCAATGTCGGTAGCCTCTCCAATTGCATTCTCCGAACAGCACGCGAGGAACCGGCGCACCACAAACTCGTATACTGTTCGCTCTCGCTCGTTGAGCTGCGTGGGTGCCACGTAATTGACGGGGTGAATCGGAGGATGGGCTTTGTCGTTGTTGCGGCCCTGCCGGGGCTGCTGGAATCCGCCGTTCATCAGGTGTTGTGCAAATGCGCCCCAGCGCCCGTCCTGCGTCTGCCGACCGACCAGAGCCCGCAGATCCATGCCACGATCAAATTGATCCGTCTCGGTACGCGGATAACTGATCCATCCTTTGGTGTACAAGTCTTCGGCCACCTTCATAACGTCCTGCGACGTCATGCGGAGGAATCGGCTTCCCATCTTCTGCAGCTCAACAGTCGTCAAGGGGAGCGGCTTCCATTTCGACGTCGGCTTCTTGCCCATCTTGGTGACCTTTGCCTTTTTGGACAGTAGACAGCGTTCAAGGATGAGAGTGACGGCCATGCGGTCAAACAGGTGGCCCCGTCGCCAGTTGAACTTGACATCCACCTCGTCTTTTGTGTGCGCTACGGTAATATACCAGAACGGCTCTGGGAAAAAGTTGCGCACTCGCAGGTAGCGATCCACGACGAATCCCAGAGTCGGAAACTGGCAAGAGCCGTAGCTGATTAGCTTGCCTCGCTCATCGCCCTGCTGGGGAATCATGTTCTGCAGCGCTAGCGTCTGCATGCGCGTAAAGGCGGCTCCAAGACGGAGATCCAGCTCGATGCGGGCCGAGACAGCTTGGGCCTGAGCCTCGTCTAGGCGGATAGGATTCTGCGAGGCGTGGATGACATGTCTAAATATATTAGCGGAACGCCCATCCACAGCAAAGGCATACAGACGCTCTTTCAATGTTGCTGAAGCGTGCTCGCCACACTTGCATGTTCGGGTTTGCCTTTAATGCAATATCGCGAATTTCAGTCCCGATGTGCTCGCCCTCGCGATCACAATCGGTCCAGATGAACAGAATGGATGCTTGCCGCGCCTGCGACTCAATGTTGCCCGCCACTGCTTTTTTGTCCTAGCTATACGTTAGTGAAGCTGGCAAATGGCGGCCCGACGCTTACCTCTGCGATGCCAGACACAATAGGAGCTTCGAACAACGACGCCGGTGCGCACGAGTGCCATTTTTTGTATCGGTCGTTGAAGTCCTGGGCGACAATGTGCCCAGCAACGCACGTAAAGGTGACCGAGCACTGGCCCCAGGTGTTGAAATGGAAATCAAACTTGTAGTTCTTGACCCATTGGATGCCGCGGACGCTTTCCTGGTGCAATTAGCCATCAGCCTCGAATGCCCAGACATGAAAGAATGTAAGCTTACGGCTCTGGCTTGCCCGCCGAGATGATTGGCAACAGCCTTTGCAATGGAAGGCTTCTCGGCCACGCACAATACCCGCGGCATGCCTGTGGTGTATTTGCGTGCCCATGCAAGGGGCGCTTGGGTGGGAAGGCGGCGGGGAAACATGTGCGTGGTCATGTGAAAGCGCGTCGAGGCGTCGAGGCGTCGAGGGGCGCGTCCAAGAACCGCACGGGCGCCCTTGCAGCACGCTAGGCCACCACATCGTCAGGAAAAACGGCGACTCATGAGGTCATCGCCCTCTCCCCACTACCGCGCCACGTCCGCTGCCTACGCTTCACCACACGGCCATTGTATCTCCAGCACCGCACACTCGCCTGCACCGCCATGCCTGACCCCAGCACCTACGCCAACATGGCGCTGCCGCTCGTCAAGACGCTACCCGACTGTGCCGACTTCTTCACCACGGTCCAGCCCTTCCTGCAGCAGTTCTACGCCCTCCCGTACCAGGTCGCAGCACGCATCTCGGATCCACAGGCTCTGAAAGAGCTCTACCTGAGCACAAACCCGCTCATGAGTTCCCTGGCCTTTGCCATCATGTTCCTCTCGCCTGCGGTTCTGATCCTTTCTGAGATCAACCGCAACTACTCGCAGGTCGATCGCATCTGGAGCTTGCTACCTGCTTTCTATACTACCCACTATGCGCTCTGGGCGCATATGAACAACTTGCCTGCAACCAAGCTCGACCATGTCATGGCCGTGACCATCATCTGGAGTGCTCGCTTGACCTACAACTACTGGCGCAAGGGCGGGTACGAGATCGGAAGTGAGGATTACAGGTGGATCATTGTCAAAGACTACATTGGAGGGCCAGCCATGTTCTTCTTCAACATCGCCTTCATCTCGTTGGGCCAGAACGTAGGCGCATACATGCCAATTGGACACGTGGTCATGACATGCTGACGAGACCAGTTTCTCCTTTGGGTCATCACGACCCCCGCATACATTCTGCTTCTCGCCAATCGCGTCGCCGGAAACGAAGTCAGTACTTTCGACGTCCTCTTCGGCCGAATCATGGTCGCTCTCGTTGTCTTTGAATGGTTTGCCGACCAGGCCCAGTGGAACTACTACAGTGCGAGGGAAGAATACCGCAAGACGGCCAAGGTACCAGCCGGCAAGAAGTACACGCGCGATCAGCTTGACCGTGGCTTCAACACTACAGGCCTGTTTGCCTGGTCTCGCCACCCCAATTTCGCAGCCGAACAGGCCTTTTGGGTATGTCTGTACCAATGGAGCTGCCTCGAGACCGATCAATATGCCACCTGGGCTGGTATCGGTGCTTTCAGCTACTTGATTCTGTTCCAGGGCAGCACATGGCTTACCGAGTTGCTGAGCGCGGGCAAGTATCCCGAGTACAAGATTTACCAGGAGCGCGTCGGCAGATTCCTTCCCAAGATGGGTACCAGGAGCATGGAACAGCCGCCGAATGAGGCGGAAGAGAAGAAGGTCAAGGGTGCTAAGGCTGGAAAGGGTGCCATCAAGACCAAGTAAAGGGGACTGATTTGGAGATATACGCGGTGGGACAATTGATCAGTAGCGAGTCAGTGAGTTGTGATTATTGTAACCTGCTGTTAACTGACAGACATCAAGAGGCTACTCTTGGTTACGCACCATATTCTTAACGACTCCAGAGTGCGGGGTATATCTATTCGTCATTGCGCATGCTATGTAATAAGCTTAATACCTCGCTAGCTTTGTAATGCAAGGATAATCAAAATATTCATTCGCTACATTACAGCCATCTACGACCATCGCTTCACAGTAGCATTACCACCAATAATGCTCACATCCGGCGCCCCCACAAGCGCCAGATTCTCAATACCAGAAACCCCATACAGAGCCATAGCATTGGTACTAACCCATGTCGCCTCATCCACCGGAGCCAACACATCACTGCCACCAATCCTAACCGCATTCCACGGCGCACTCGGCGCAAGACCATCCTTACTCCCATCGCCCAGGAACTCGGACCACACGCGCGGCACCAGCGACGCATTGTGTCTGTGACTTGCCACATACGCCGTAAACCGCGAGTGGCCCTGCATGAGCGTCAGGCTACCAAAGTCCTCTCCATAGCGCGCCTTTTGCTCCGCCTTGCCAGCACCATAGTAGTAGCAGTAGTCCAAGAAGGCGTCGAAGAAGGGCCGCGTGACGTTCTGCTGGTCGGCCCCAAAATGCGTTACAAGCTGGTCGATTGTCTCGAGGACGCCAAACACGCCCGAGAGATGCGACACGGTGACTTCGCCCGTGTTGTTGGGATCGGTAGGCGGAGGCGCCCACTCGCCGTTGAGACTATTATACAGCGCTTCGCCTGTTGCAAACCCGTTTTTCAGCTTCGGATACGACACGATGCTCGCGACGAGCTTGTCGTGGGCTTCTTGTGCGCGCGGCCCGCGCCGCTCCCATTCAATTAGGTAGGCCTGCGCGAGACCCGCCCAGTCAGTGCCGAAGTTGAGGAAGAGCGCCGTCGCATCGGGTTTGTAGATGATGCTTGGATCGCGGACTTTGCGGCGGGCGTCGACGCGCAGAAACGCCTTGTCGGCGTCGAGGACCTCGCGCATGAGATCGCCGGTGCGCTCGTCGCCGCCGGAGATGTAGAAAAAGGGCTTGCGGTACACGGGCGTCGAAATGCGGGCTTGCTTTGCGCTGTCGCTCCAGTGCTGGACGCCGTGGCGGGTCCCCAGGCCGGTGAAATTGCCTACGTGGTAGGAATCGACGTCGCCGCCGTGCCGCGCCTGGTCGTGCGCAATGCGGTAGGCATCTGGGCTGGCGCTGCGCAGGAAATAGGTCCAGAAGAAGAGGTCGGGAGACAGCTCGGAGTTGTCCCACGCGTAGCCGCCAATGTCGTAGCGCCACTGGTGCCGGTCGTTGTCGTACGTGTGCATCATGTCGCCATGGTCCAGGAACCCGTACCACCGCCTCTGCTCGATTTGCTCCTTGTAGAAGTCGATCAGGAACGTCATGTGCTCTTCGATTGTCTGCGCTTGCGCAGAGTCGACTGCGCCTGGCACGTCCCAGTAGGATCCGAGTGCTTGCGTGTCGGCCATGTACTTGGGCTCGGGGAGGAGTACTGGCGGGGAGTTTGTCGAGTTTGTGAGTACAGAGAGCTTGTCGGCTGATGGCGTCGTGTCGAAGGCGTAGACGTACAACTCATTTGTACGTGCAATACCGTGGGGAGTATCATAGCCGGATTCCCAGTCCTCGTACGTGATCTCCAGGGCGTCAAGCTGCTTTTTGTATGTGTCTTCGCCCAGGCCGTCGTGGTAAGGGCGCAGATCCAGGGGCTCGGCTTGCGGGCTGTACAGCCATAGGGTTATGGATCCGGTGTCTGTGGCGGCATTTGAGATATCTAGGCTTGTAGGATACTTTTTCCAGAAATCGCGGAGACCGAGGGCAAGGCCGCCGCCGGTAGCACCGCCAAGGTAGGCCAGTCCACCTGCTCTGGTTCCGCCAGGGATCTTCACCCAACTCTGGCCGGCTTTGGTGCGCTTCTTGAGCGTGAAGCCATCGGGAGAGAGCTGCGTGAGGCGGTAGTCGCTCCATGCTGGGATCCACTGGAGACGAGTGGTTACGCGCTGGTCCCAGGTTGACGGATCTGGAAGCGCTGTTCCGTTGTATTGAGCTGATCTGATGTCTTTGCCTGGGTCGCGGCGGAGCCCAGTGATGCCCTTGACGGCTTCATGGAGCATGCCCCCATCAACACCTGCAATGCGGATGTGGCGGTCGTAGAGTTTTTCGTTCGCCAGAGGTACGTCGAACTGGATACCAAGGCCAGACATGAAATCATCGTACATGTTTCCATCGTAGACAATCGTGTGGATTATGCGAATCGCTTCCGAGTTGGCATAGAGATAAAAGCGCACAGTGAAGGGAAGCCAGTCGTCATGAGCGCTATCGCCGGTTGCAGTATGGATACCGTTAACAGTGACCAGCGTGCGAGCAGTGTTCTCCTCAGATACAGTAACGTTGGATATCTTGCTGGTAAAGGCAAAATAGTCGATGCCAGTAGGCTTGCCGTCGGCATTGTCGTCCGGAGTGCCAGATTGGGATCGCAGGACAAGATGGCCATTTGTACCAACAGTCTTTGCACCAGCCTTGATGCTGGAAACAAGAACATTGCCTGATCTTGGGAATACTGCCGTGACCTTGCCAGTATCGACTACAATCTCCTCGCCAGAATCGCTGACTTGGATGCCGCTAGCTCGTCGTGCACGGCGGGGTGCAGATGAATTGCCCTTACTCGTTGCCGTGATGGTATATTCGTCGGCGGGAGATTCGCTGGCTCCCAGAGCATGCCCAGTCCACTTCAGACTGCCATCAGGCCAATACGCAGTCACCCATGACTGGAGACTTGCATCGCCCGTCGTTGTAAACGTCGTCGCATTGGCAGGGTGCTGTCCGCGGGGCCAGGGCACTCCAAACGTCGTTCCAGAAAGGTACTTTGGCGTGCCGTCGATCCATCGGACTTTGACAGAGCTGCTCTGTGCACATGCAAAGCTGAAAAGGCCAGCCAGACCAATAATGGCCGCCCTGACCATCTTGGGGTTGAGAAGAAAGAATACCACGAGGCCTTACAGCCAGCGAGGAAACCTAACCTCGTGGCAATCCACCACGGATGGCGAGCAATTTGTACCTGCATCTTCTGCCCGCTTGCCCAGCTTGTCTTGCTGCATTTTCGAGAGAATACCCGGTCGACCTTGTCGTTTCTGGCAGCTTAACCGTTTAGCAGTATCGCACGCAAGATCCTGCGCGTATAATGTGATCCTAACGGCTCCCAGAACAGCCTAGCCGCAGCTTGGCAGGGAGAACTTGTAGCCGTTTCGTGCGGAGTGTTTGCGGAGGCGGGAATGCGATCTGCGTGCTTGGCTGAAGCCGTGGATTTTTCCGTGTTCTATTCTCGGGCTAGAGGCAGCCGAGGTATCGTTGCTCGGTGCAATATGCGTGGTGCCATGAGGCGGAGGCGAAGGAAAGAGACGACAGGACATGCGGTGTTGAGATATGCTGATAGGCCTTGGGCTGTTATTCGTATGGGAGAGGTAGGTTTGAGATGGCTGTCATCTTGTATCCAACGTGTGTGCTTGGTTGCAAGGGTTGTGATGATACCTGCGCCATGGAGCCCTGTTCCTGTCATCACGTGACCCTGGATGAGAGTGTACAATGGGGTGGAGGTTGTAAGGAATTGTAAACAACGTTGTTTCCTGTATTCTTCGTATGCAACACAGAAATACATGTGGCAGCAGGCCTGTGGCCCAAAATCATGCATGTGCTTTGCAATAACCAAGGGGGCACATCCAGGGAGAATATCCCTCGAGACGGAAACTTAAGTACACCATGCTCTTATGTCAGGATATCACATGGTACTCTAAATTCCCGCAAGATAGACTTGCGAACCAGGTCATATCGTTTTCAAAGTTTTACGTAAAGGACGTGTTGTGTGTAGAAGCGCATGAACGCAGAGCTACAGGAAGAAAGCATAGCTACAGAAATAAGGTACCTGGTGAGACGGCCGACTACTGTCAGCATTGAAACTGTAATTGACACATGGGCACCAAATGATCCAATGGCGAGAACCGACATCGTCCCTATCGGACCTATTGGGAAATTGTTCTCATCGAAGCACTCGCCTAGCAACACCAAACCTAAATTTAGATGTCCAGACTTGAAATCGTTGTCTGACTGAGTAGAAGCCTTACGGGGTCGTGTTGTATGAATGTGCAACATTGACCGTGTCGCCTATTCAGTAGTAGAACTGACAGTACGCATCTTGCTACGGATATAAAATGCAATTGTTCTGACTTTACGGCTGCATTTTGGCCGTCCAGTTGTTAATGAGAGCTTCAAAGGTATATAAATTGACTGCATAAGTACGCGAAAGTCTGAAAGACGCACAGGTAAGCGCCAGGACAGCGCGCGACCCTGTGCACCGGCAGAATGTAACTGTCGACACACGGCTCATAGTTCTCACTGCTGGCCAGATGAGGAACTCACGTTATCACTTGGCAATACTGTAGGTGGTCAGTGCGTGCAACTGTTCAGCGGATGCAACACCATCTGCACCTTCCCAAAACAGACCCACCCACTTTAACGCGTAATAACTCCACTACTATAACTCTAATTAAGAAAGCGCTTCTAGTAGTTAATATATAAGATTCTAAAAAATAACTTCTATATAGAGTAGCTATAAAAAGGTTTAGCATTATATTATTAATATTAACACGCTGCTACTACATACAAACCTAGTCTTATATAGCTACTATAAAAAATATAAAATTACTTACTAGTTATATAATATAAAGCTAAGCTTATAAAGTATATATAGAAGCTTTTTAGTTATAGGCTTACACCTACTAGGTCTATAATAGAAAATTTTATATTAAATATTATGAAATAGAAGCTGTTATATAGCTAGTGTAACGATGTTACAACTTCGCCAAGTATTGAGCCAATCCCAG